TAAAAAAAAAAAAAAAAAAAAAACATGGCAAAACAAAATTTTGTGCCACATATATTACAAACTCAAAAAACAGTCATAATATTTTTACCAATAGCCAGGCACAGTGAGTCACGTTTGTAATCCCAGTTACTCAGGGGGATGAGGCTGGAGGAAGACTTGAGCCTAGGAATAATTGAGGCTACACTGAGCTTTGATCACATCACTGTATTCCAGCCTGGGCAACAGAGCAAGACACTCTCTAAACAAATAAATAAAAATTTTAAAAATGTTTACAACAACTGCTTCAGACACCTGATTTACGATACAGATAAAATCCTAAATAAAGCATTAGCAAATTGAACCAGCTATATATTAAAATAGTAACATGGTCAGGTATGGTAGCTCATGCTTGTAATCCCAGAGCTTTGGAAGGATTACTGACCTGAGGCAAGGAGTTTGAGAGCAGCCTGGGCAACACAGTGAGACCCCATCTCTAAATAAAAATTAAAAATTAATGAAAAGGTCAGGTGCGACAGCTCACGCCTGTAATCCCAGCATTTTGGGAGGCCAGGGTGAGCAGATTACAAGGTCATGAGTTCGAGATCAGTCTGGCCAACATAGTGAAACCATGTCTCTACTAAAAATATAAAAATTAGCTGGGTGTGACAGCACACACCTGTAGCCCCAGCTACGCGGGAGGGTGAGGCAGGAAAACTGCTTGAACCTGGGAGGCAGAGGTTGCAGTGAGCTGAGACCACACCATTGCACTACAGTCTGGGTGACAGAGTGAGACTCCATCTCAAAAAATAAATAAGCAAATAAACAAAACACTACATAATCAAAAAGGTTTATTCTAGAACTAGAAGTGAGTTAACATCAGGAAACTCATTATATTTAATAGCATAAAAGGGGTAAAGAACAAAAAAAATCCTGTAGTAACTTTTGAAAGATTTCAAAAAAGAAAAAATGGTTAAAAAGTGAAGAAAAGAAGCTGGGCACATGCCTGTAATCCCAGCACTTTGGGAGGCTGAGGTGGGTGGATCACAGTCGGGAGATCGACACCAGCCTGACCGACATGGAGACACCCCATCTCTACTACAAATACAAAATTAGCTGGGTGTGGTGGCACATGCCTGCAATCCCAGCTACTCGGGAGGCTGAGGCAGGAGAATCACTTGAATCTGGGAGGCAGAGGTTGCGGTGAGCCAAGATCGTGCCACTGCACTCCGGCCTGGGTGACAGAGCAAGACTCCATCTCAAAAAAAAAAAAAAAAAAAATCTCTATTATATCATATTTTGATTCTGTGGTTTCCTCAATACCACATCTTATAATCAATAATGAATATTTCTTCATATTTAATGAATAGGACATTTACTCAATTTTTTCAAAAGGAAAAAAAGGCATAAATTACAAACATATATTTAAAAAGGTGAGACAGATCAGGCACAGTGGCTCATGTCTGTAATCCCAGTACTTCGGGAGGCTGAAGCAGGCGGATCACCTGAGGTCAGGAGTTTGAGACAAGCCTGACCAATACGGTGAAACTCTATCTCTACTAAAAATACAAAATTAGCCAGGCGTGGTGGCACATGGCTGTAATCCCAGCTATTCAGGAAGCTGAGACAGGAGCGTCACTTAGACCTAGGAGGCAGAGGTTCCAGTGAGCTGAGATTGCACCACTGCACACCAGCCTGGGCAGCAAGAGTGAAACTCCATCTCAAAAAAAAAAAAAAGAAAAAGAAAACCAACTAAAACAAATTGAAAATAATAAAAATATAAAATCTACAAGAAGCAGTAAATTTCCTTCATGCCAGCAGCAATTATTCAGATGATGGCAGAGTACCATTCACAAAAAAAAATAAAAATAAAAATAAAAATACATGCAGGAAGAAAATGAAGAAGTACGTAAGGTCCACATTAAATTAAAAATAAAACCAGAAAACTATGAAACTATTAAGGCGCACAAGACCTGGATGATGAATAAATGGAACAGAGGATTAAATAAGTTACTTCTCCCCAAAATAATGCACATATCGAATGTAATTCAAGTCAAAATCCCAATGAGTTTATTACTGGAACTCGATTATAAAATCATCTAGAGTCGTTATTTAAAAAGGAATGGGAGGCCAAGCGTGGTGGCTCATGCCTGTAATTCCAACACTTTGGTTGGTGGAGGCAGGAACACGGTTTGAACTCAGGAGTTTGAGACCAGCCTGGGCAACACAAGAAGACCCCATCTCTACAAAAAGTTTTAAAAAGTAGCTAGGTACAGGGCTGCATGCCTGTAGTCCCAGCTACTCAGGAGGTTTCGGCAGTAGAATCTCTTGAGCCCTGGAGTTTGATGTTGCAGTGAGCTATGATCATGCCACTGCACTCCAGCCTGGGTGACAGAGCGTAAGACCCTGTTTCAAAACAAAACAAAATAATCCAGTGCTTTTCTCCAAGGAGATGAAATTACAGGAGGGTTTAAGTTTGGCTATATTGTTTTCACCTTTTTTACAATATACACATATTATTAAAACAAAGAAAAAATACGGGCCAGGCACAGTGGCTCATGCCTGTAATCTTAGCACTTCGGGAGGCCAAGGCGGGTGGATCACCTTAGGTCAGGAGTTCCAGACCAGCCTGGCCAACAGGGTGAAACTCTCTATACTAATAATACAAAAATTAGCCAGGCGTGGTGGCGCACACATGTAAACCTAGCTGAGGCAGCAGAATCACTTGAGGAGGAAGAGGTTGCAGTAAGCCAAGATTGCGCTATTGCACTCGGGGGGGGGGAAAGATATGTTTCCATCCCAATACTAAAAGTTTATGAACAATTATGTAAAAGCAAAAATGTCTAGACAACGCCCTTTTAATTTCTTACTGATCCATGAAAATTATCCCTTAAATGACAATAATGTTCACTCCTTTCATAAGAAAAATGCCTGCTTCCCCACTTACATTAGCTGGTTGCTCTCAACAGGAACGTCTGTGTCTTCATTGAGTTCCAATCTATTACGCCTGTAGGTCGAACCAACACTCAATCCATGAATTAATAATAATGAGGCAGAAAAAATTTTCCTCCTCACATTGCCAAAAAAACCTCTCAGCCACAATTCAAACACAGCATGTGTTTTTAAAACATCTCCCAACTACTGGAAGATTAAGTCCATTCAAATAACCTTTGTCAGACTGGAGACAGCTAAGGTCAACTATCTCCTCAAAAACAAAAAACAAAAAAAAGAGTTCATTTAAAGATGAACTTGAGAGTCAAAGGATTATGAAAAAAGAAAATCCATCTTCCATAGCTGAAAAAAAAAAAAAAAACCACCAAAATTCAGTAAGATCCAATCTCTGGTCTTCAAGATTTCTTCACCTATTAAGAAAAAAACAGAAACCTTCCCCCATCTTTATTATCTGTATAATAAAAGCATACTTGTATGTAAAAATATAGTGTTTTATGTAAATATACATAGAGATATATACTAACTGGCTTATACACACACACACACATATACACAAATGTGTAGAAATAAAACATCTGGATAAGTTTCCCCTTTTAAAATACACTATAAAAGACTTTAGATTTGGGTTCGTTATAAAAATAAAGAACTTACTCTTATACCAAAGTATCATGAAGTTATTGTTACACTAAATTTTTCCCAGCCCACAAAATAAAGACGAAGGTAAATCCTTACACATATTATCAATATGTATAATATGGATGTATGTATATATATCATCAGCATCAGCATCATCATCAGAGAGTATTTAACCAAAAAAGATAGAAACGTATGGTAATAGAGTAACTACAGAGTGGTGCAGCAAGCTGTAGAAGGCAGAGCAGCATTACAGCCATTTTAAATTGGCACTGGCAAAACACAGAAAGCTTTATCTAAGGGAAAATTTATTTCTTATTTTATATCAACACCAGCGTCACTGGTTTGCCATTAAACATTCGCCCTGGAAAGGCTTGCTTATACAGCCTAGGTCCAAATTCTTTTCTACTAATGGCTACAGCTAAAGACTTTATAATTATATATGTACTCCAGTTAGTAAAAGGGTAAACTTTTGGAGTTGAGATTTCATTTCACAATGGCATATTTAAAATTTAAGAATTTAAAAAAAAAAAAAAAATCAAAAACAAAAACAAAAAATCCTATTTTGATACATAGAAATGAGTTCCAAACTCTGAAACCAGCCCAGTAACAAAGCAATTTTGATTCTTATGTAATAAATACTACATAATTTCTAGGCTAAATCTTGCCAAATACTATCCAAGACAAAACTAAAATCAAAACTTAAAAAAAAGTGGACACCTTTTACTCACACTTAATACTAGTCAATTTTCCACGAATTTTTTGGGCAGGGAATATCCCCAAATCTAAAATGAAAAAAAGGAAAAATTGGGATCTTACATTAGTTATTCAGTCTGAAACTTTTAATAGACTTTTACTAAAAGTCATCATTTTCTGGCCTCCTACTCAATCATCGAAACATACTTTCAGAGTAGAAAGGGATTTTAAAGATAATGAGATCCATTCACTCATCTCACCAATGATTCCTAACACATAAAAATATTGACTGCTAGTTTTCATTGAGAATTCAATGGCCAAAACAACTGCATAGTTAATACAGTATTATGGGTCATTAAGTATGTTTTTAAAAAGATTACCTAAAATTACAGAAACGATCTTTGGGAAATATCTACTGGATTCTTCCAAGTATGTTCAAAGGGTTTTCATTACAATTCCCATTCAGTCCTTTCCAATTCTTGCAAATGTTTTAGTATGTTTTTACCCATAAATTATTTTAAAGTACCTACACAATCCTTGTTATTTTTATTTTATAAAGGTTTAAAACAGGCATTTCAAAGACTAAAAGTATATTTTCCTACTTGTTTTCTAATATTTCCCTTTTATATAAGATCCAATTCTAAATATGAAGGGTAACACTATCACACTCAACAATTTGAAATTATAAAGCTGACCAGTATGAGGAGCAATTAGAAATTTGCAAATATAAAACAATTTCATGGGTTTTCTTTTTGCCAAGTTGTAATTAAGAATCAGGGCTTTTAAGGAAACAAAAACAGGGGCAGGAGGAATGCCAGCTGAGTGTACTTTTTTTCTCATTTCACTGATTTCAGAGCAATAAAATTTCCCATGGTGGGGAAAACTTTACTTAAAACCAATTACAAGCTCAATCTACCAGGCAGAAAGCCGAAGGCCTCTCAATGCTGCACTATATTTTCTTAAAACTAAAAATCTTTTCTCTTTCATTGGTATAAGCGAAATTTTCAAGTGCTAGCTACATTGAGTTATAGCTATGAAATCTTTAAGTTTAATCTTCATTTTATCAAAATTATATTGCCTCTGAGGAATTTTCAGCCCTTTTGTGATTTCAGGTTTCCCCAGATGTGTTTGTTTATAAACAGTAATGATTATATTTAACAACTATAGCTATTAAGATACAGTAACACAGCAAAAAGTTGCCCATTTTAAATGGAGAAAAAGAAACTAAGGTAGTATTTCTTTTTCATTGCTTTGAACAACTTCATTCTCAGGATCCCAGCTCCGAACCAATGTAGAATAATCGTAGTTAACATTTTTCAAGTTCATTTTCAGAAACATCAGCTGTTCTATATTGTCAAAGTCCAGGCTCATGATCTGTTTTGGATGAAAGTGGCTATTTTTAGTAAAGATACATTCAGATTGCCAACTACACATGGGGCAACTTAGATACTGGATGGCAACCTGGGTCAAAGCTGGCCATACGCTTATCTTCCTCTGCCAGTAAATTAAAGGGTCATCACCTTCTGAGAGCTCTGAATACTTCTCTTTGAAGTACTCATCCACAACTGCTATAGCAGAAGGGAACATGAAGCTTTTGCTTCCAAGGGCAACACTGTCTACAGCTGAGCTATCAACGGAACCTGAATTGGAGGTGCCTTCTTTTAGAGACGAGGTAAATGAATCAGCTCCTACTGTAACTGAGGGACAAGAAGCTTCGCAAGTTGGAATTTGGCAGATCTCTGGTGAAGATTCCATATAATTACAAACCTCTTCTGCAAGGATCTGCTTATAAGTTTCTAAATCAGCACCTTGAGGAAAAAAGTCTTCCAAACTGTTTTTAAAGCAAGGATCTAACAAAGTAGCCAAGATACAGGGCTTGGACTTAAGCATGGCACTTAGTAGGGTATCCGTTTCAAGTTTCAGAGATAAACTATCCACCAGATTGAGGGCCTGAGTAATACCTCTGACTTGAAAATCTTCTCTGAGTTTCTGCAGGGAAAGGAGAAGATGATGGATTAGGGGTAGCACCTGATTCAATCCTGCGGTCTTCACACTCACTTTCTGGATGGCCTCCTCAAATGGCTTAAGAATATCACAAACATAAGTCATTAGAGTCCACTGAAGGGAGGTGAGCACAACTCCACTGGCTCTACCAAGACTATGGTGAACTGAGTAGCAATGCTCCAAGAGCCATTTTAACATATAAAAGGTAGAAATCCAATGGCCAGTTTCATCCTGCTTCAAATTCTTCCAGGGAAGTTGGTGATCATTTTGAAACTCTTGCAGTATCTGACGGGCCTTGACCGAATGACTAAAATGATGGCAGGTTTTCCTAGCAGCCACTAACATATTCTCAATGCTTTTATGCTCACAAAAAAAGTCCTGAATGACCACATTTAAACAATGCAGGAAGCATGGCACATGGGTAAAACCACCATCTTTGACTGCATGTACCACATTAGAGGAATTGTCAGAAACAATGAAGCTAGGAATAAGGAAATTTGGAGAAAGCCACAGACCAATCTGGTCATTTAATTCTTGTAAAATATTAGTTATCAAACAGTCTTTAGCCAAACCTGTAACACAAAGCACTGCCCACTTTCTAAAATTGGGGATCCTGCCATTATTGAGAAAAGATGAAGTTTCCAAAGAGACCCAGTGTACAGTCACAATAAAATAGTCAGTGGATGGGTCATGGGTCCATATGTCAACGGTCAGGTGGATCTTTTGGCTTTGAACGTTCTCTAAAGTCAAGAAAATTTTTTCTCTGACACAATCATATAACTGAGGTACAGCCTTAGTGAAAAAGTAAGTCTCTGATGGCAACCTATAATCAGGGGCCACAATCTGCATGAACCTCTGAAAGGCTGGGGTTGAGAAGTAGTTGTAAGGATGCATATCTTCCACAATCATTTGGATAATTGCCTGACTTATTTGACTTGAGACTGGATTTCCACAACGTGTTGTTTCTCTCTCCTGCGCACGCATCAAAGTGCTTTGCTCTGCAACAGGAATGGGACTTTCAGATCTATTTTCAACCTCTAACAAAGGAGATTCATCTGAATCAGAGTCACTAACGTCCTCAGCTGTTAAATCTTGGCTGCCTGTAGACTTTTCTCCATGCAAGGTATCACTCAAGAGATCACTTCTCTCGGTCTCAGCTTCATCCAGTGCATCTGCAACAGCACCACTGTCTTTGTTGGCAACAGCCCAATGGATAGGATGTGTGGCTTGCAGGTGTCGTTGAAGTGTTGAAGTCCCTAAGTGGGACCCTGGCCTACCCCGGCTCACACTTCTTTTACATATATTACACACAGCTCTTGAGATGTGCTGAGGATCAGTATAAAAAAAATTCCAAACTGCAGATGTCTTGGCTCTAGTTCCAGGGATTAAAGCATGCTTGACAATGTTACTTTTGATGAGAAATCTCCCTCTTTCTGCCCTTAGGGCATCAGATGCCGATTTATCACGTTTCTTGCCCATTCTATTATCATCTAATGGATCAGTAGGAATATACTCAAAGCTTCCATTGCTTCCAGAAGAGGGAGATAAAGACACATCCAAGGTAAAGTCCTCCTCTCCACTAGTGACTCCAAACTTGTTGGCCCTGGTCCAATGAGGTGAATGCCTTGCTTGCAGATGTCGCTGAAGAGTAGATGTACCAAGATGGCTACCTGGTTTACCCCTGCTGACACTTTTCTCACAGAGGTTACAAATAGCCCGCCAGGTGTACTGGGGGTCAACATGAAAGAAGTGCCACACAATGGAGGTCTTGGCTCTAGTACTGGGTAGATAGATCTGTTT